CACCACGGAACGAGTGGGCGTTCTCACATAGACTCCCACAGACCCAAGTCAATTTTTGAATTTGTTTAGGTTAAGCGCGTGCTACGAGGTCGTACCTTTGATACAACATCCAGTGCTGGGACGTCCACAGCAAGCCATTTCCACAGCGCTGCACACCAAATCCAGGATACCCTCAAAAATGGGCAAAGACTACCACTCACGTTCCACTACTGCCTATTCCTTAATCCTACGTGACTTCTTGGCACGACTCAAACTTGCCAAAGTCACTAAATCAACGTCAACTACAATAATCAAGCCACATATCTGCAACGTCACGAGGGTGCTAGCAAAAGTCCTGCTGCACGGCGCGCGGTGGGCTTCCCCGCCGCCGTGCTACCCATTACGTGGCTAAAAAACGTGATTTTTTGGACTTTTTTTGGACTTGGAGCGAAATTCTGCACACTTTCGCGTGTTTCCATGATACGACAAGTTGCGCACGGTCTGCTCACATTCAAATACAGTGCTGCCAACAAATGACAGCGTGCAACAAAAACATCTTTCCTTGCAAGGGCCTATTTTCGGCCATAACTCTTCAACGGCTGGTCAGATCGAGACAAAATTTTCAGAGAATTTGCAGCTATTCATGCTCTTTCAACTGACGCAGCACTCGATATGAATTTATAAATTCGATTTTTCAGCGAATTCTTGGGTAGTCTGCCACCTTAAATACTAGTACTGAAGTATACCTGAAAATCACATTCCCGTTTGCATCTTTCCCTCAAACCAATGCAAAAATCAAACAAACGTTATTGTACAAAGCAAGAACTTCCCTTGCAATGTCGCGTGTGCAACAATAAAGAAAGAAAATACCAATCCGGTTATTTTGCACAGCTTCAACAGGACTGGTTTTTGGATCATGGACCAGTTCTATCCCATTTCTCCTCCCGTTTATACATGTGCTTGGTCCGCGTCAGCAATATTGTCGCTTATCTTTCGACAATTTGAACTTAGACGTTGGACATGAACGCGTGCACCTGAAGTGATAAAACTTGGTACGATGGACGGTAAGGTATAGAATGACAACTAGCTGCGAGGAATTTATTGCCCAAGGAAGGGTTCCTACTTTTTTCGGTCCTCCTCGTCGCTGCTCTCGGCGCTGGTGACAAATATTTTTGCTCGGGATCAATTTTCTTGCTTTTGCAAGCTCATCTCTCTTCCTCTCCGCTGCCTGGCTATTTTCTAAAGAGAAGTCGATCGTGACGGTCGCCTTCTCCATAGGACTTCGCCTGGGCAGCACGACAGCCTGTGTGGTTCAAATCAGACGCCGTTCTTTGCAAGATTTTATTTTGAACGACGACGACGCGTACAGTACATGTACTTGCAAATCTCCACGACGCGCTGGGTACTCCGAGCGAGGAGCTGGAGGTAAGGTAGCTGCGATCTCAGAATGATGAGCGATCCCTGAGGTGAGCGATCTCGGCCGTTCAGCAAAATGGAGCTGATTCCGAGTAGTCGATTACTTTCTTGTGGCTTGCGCTGCTCTTGCCTGCACAGCGTAACCAGATAATCTATTTTGATGCGGCGCTGTATCAATCAGAATCACCCACCCGTCGCTCTCGAAATCCACTCGAACTCTAGCTAGACCTTTCAGGTACTTGCAAACTAACCTGCTAACCAAAATTGGGATGAAATGGGCTGCCAAGTAAGCATTGGCGACATATAAACCAAGCTGAAAGATAAGCGACAATATCGCTGACGCGGACAAGTATTCTAAAGGGTGGTGGCGTAGCATGGAAGCGGAAAGGTGGTTCTTGACCAGGGAGTTGTACGAATCCTTGTTCTTGACCTACCCGTGGTACGCGAACTCGTCGAATTTTTATTTATTTATTTTTTAAATATATTCTTTTAACCTCTTTAGCACGACGCTACCTGAGCGCGCCCCACGCGACAACACCTGTAAAAGTCGCATTTTCCCATGAAAGTACTAGCTGCTCAAGGATCGATAACTTTACCTTCCCTTGGACGAATTCCACGATCTTGAGCTTCCTGGAAAGGTCTTGAGACGAGTGACAAACTGGTGTCAAACCTAGCTCGGAGCGAAACCAAAACCCCGTGCTACAGTCTGGCAAACTTCATCCACGCGCTCGACAGACTTGAGCACGGCCAAGACTAACCAAGCTCAAATATTCAGCTGCCATTTCGGTCTCCTTGCTCGTATCGAGCTCAAATTTTTTGTGAGGACTCACGGGATCCACTACCATCATTTGAATCTTGTTTCCATGGCAGCAGGTAGCGCACAAATGATCCATGATGGAAAATACGCGTTCTGCAGACTGCGCAAAAAAATCGCAAAAAAATCGAGTTGAAATTTGCCGTGTCGAGTCGCATATCTCAACAACCGGTGGTCGCATCGCTTCGGCGATTGTTTCTATCGCCAGCTGAGAGTTTTCTCTTGCAGATACATGTTTCGATTGTGAGAATCGACCAAGTATTGAGTGAGTTACGATAGTTTGAACAAGTCACTATGGACTCAACACGGACCCCACGACTATGAGATGCAGGTTCAGTGTACAGTGTACAGCGCGCGTCGTACTAGTACGACGGCCGTGGGGCATGCAACTCATGTGCGTCGTACTAGTACGACGCTCGCGCTAAAGGGGTTAAGCCATTTACTTATTACTAGTACTGAATCCTACGTGACTTCTTGACACGACCTAAGGGGGCAGCCTACCCATAAATTTCATATGGCATTCAATTGACCGTAACTTTGGTGTTTCTCAATGGATTTGAGTGAAATTTTGACCACACACTCCTGCCACTATGCTGGCCCTCAGGACATGATTTACGAGTTCTTGCGCCTCACTGACAGGCATCTTAAGGTGGCAGACTACCCACAAATTCGCTGAAAAATCGAATTTGTAAATTCATATTGAGTGCTACGTCAGTTGAAAGAGCATGAATAGCTGCAAATTCTCTGAAAATTGTGTCCCGATCTGACCGGCCGTTCAAGAGTTATGGCCGATAATGTGCCCTTGCAAGGAAAGATTTTTTTGTTGCACGCTGTCATTTGTTGGCAGCACTGTATTTGAATGTGAGCAGACCGTGCGCAACTTGTCGTATCATGGAAACACGTGAAAGTGTGCAGAATTTTGCTCCAAGTCCAAAACATCAGGTTTTTGAGCCACGTGCAGCAGGACTTTTGCCAGCACCCTCGTGACGTTGCAGATATGTGGCTTGATTATTGTAGTTGACGTTGATTTAGTGACTTTGGCAAGTTTGAGTCGTGTCAAGAAGTCAGGTAGGATTCAGTACTAGGCAGTAGTGAAACGTGAGTGGTAGTCTTTGCCGGTTTCTGAGGGTGTCCTGGATTTGGTGTGCAGCGCTGTGGAAATGGCTTGCTGTGGAGGTCCCAGCACTGGATGTTGTATCAAAGGTACGACCTCGTAGCACGTGCTAAACCTAATAAAATTCAAAAATTGCCTTGGATCTGTGGGAGTGTGTAAGAGAACGCCCACTCGTTCCGTTGTGACAGATTCCAGGGCCTCGTTGAGGGGCCCTACCCCATCACCCATGGCTGCTTCTGGACTTGTTCTAGGTTTGAGTCCCGCGCACGAACAGAATGAGCACGAAAATGTGAAAAAATTGTAAATGCATTTGTTTGGCTCCTGGGTGGCTCGCACACCGTGGCACTATGCCGGAAATTTGAGTTTTTCCGGCCTGGAAAGCCTGTCAGTGAGGCGCAAGAACTTGTAAATCATGTCCTGAGGGCCAGCATAGTGGCAGGAGTGTGTGGTCAAAACTTCACTCAAATCCATTGAGAAACACCAAAGTTACGGTCAATTGAATGCCATATGAAATTTATGGGTAGGCTGCCCCCTTAAACTTGCCAAAGTCACTAAATCAACGTCAACTACAATAATCAAGACACATATCTGCAACGTCACGAGGGTGCTGGCAAAAGTCCTGCTGCACGGTGGCGGGCAAAGCCCGCCGCCGTGCAGCCCAATACGTGGTTTTTGAACATGATATTTTGGACTTTTTGGGACTTGGAGCAAAATTCCGCACACTTTCGCGTGTTTCCATGATACGACAAGTTGCGCACGGTCTGCTCACATTCAAATACAGTACTGCCAACAAAGGGCAGCGTGCAACCAAAAAAATCTTTCCCTGCAAGGGCACATTTTCGGCCATAACTCTTGCACGGCTGGTCAAATCAAGACAAGATTTTCAGAGATTTTGCAGCTCCTCATGCTCTTTCAACTGATGTAGCACTCGATATGAATTTACAAATTCGATTTTTCAGTAATTTTACGACCAGGCTGCCAACTTAAGGCGGCAGACTACCCTAAATTCGCTGAAAAATCGAATTTGTAAATTCATATTGAGTGCTACGTCAGTTGAAAGAGCTTGAATAGCTGCAAATTTCACTGAAAATTGTGTCCCCGGCCATCTGCAGCAGGACTTTTGCCAGCACCCTCGTGACGTTGCAGATATGTGGCTTGATTATTGTAGTGGACGTTGATTTAGTGACTTTGGCAAGTTTGAGTCGTGTCAAGAAGTCACGTAGGATTCAGTACTAGGCAGTAGCGGGACGTGAGTGGTAGTCTTTGCCGGTTTCTGAGGGTATCCTGGATTTGGTGTGCAGCGCTGTGGAAATGGCTTGCTGTGGACGTCCCAGCACTGGATGTTGTATCAAAAGTACGACCTCGTAGCACGTGCTAAACCTAAAAAATTCAAAAATTGACTTGGGTCTGTGGGAGTGTGTGAGAGAACGCCCACTCGTTTCGTTGTGACAGATTCCAGGGCCGCGTTGAGGGGCCTACCCCACCACCCATGGCTGCTTCTGGACTTGTTTTAGGTTTGGGTCCCGCGCACGGACAGAATGGGCACGAAAATGTGAAAAATTGTAAATGCATTTGTTTGGCTCCTGGGTGGCTCGCACACCGTGGCTCTTTGCCAGAAATTTGAGTTTTTCCGGCCTGGAAAGCCTGTCAGTGAGGCACAAGAACTTGTAAATCATGTCCTGAGTGTGTGGTCAAAATTTCACTCAAATCCATTGAGAAACACCAAAGTTACGGTCAATTGAATGCCATATGAAATTTATGGGTAGGCTGCCCCTTCACTGCATGATTCGAGCACAAAATCAATCATCAGGCACCAGAAGGTTTTCTGGGCAAAATAATGGTGCGATTGAAAATCCAGTACCAGAACACAAAAACGATTTAGGCGAGGAACTAAATTTTAGGATTGGGCTCCAAACACAATCACAAAATTAACGTGTAACATGTACTGAGGTGGACTAGCAATGGGTAGATTCACACTATTGTTTTGCTATTGTATTGTGTGGGCAAATCACAAAGGCCATCCTTGCCCGAAGCAAGTCTCTAATCTAGTAGTTTCAATGAACTGGTGCGTATGAAATGGGCATGTGGGTACGTCAGCTGATGAGCAGCGGGATAAGCTTATCAGGGCACGACTTGTTAAAAGCTGGCCGCCAAGAACGACAGGAGAAGAGCCACAAGAGACACTGTAAATGAAACAGAATGGCAGAACATAGACACATACATGCAGATCACAGCAGTATACCGGTAATGCTGTTATAATTATTATTAAAATGTTATTCGAAATCCATGTCATGCAGGCATAATGAAATCCATGTCGTGCAGGTATAATGAAATCCATGTCAATAATGCATGTTTACATTTTGCTTTTTTGCTTTTGGCTTAAAAGAACAACCTTTTCCATGAGCTCATCCTAGTCCTACTCTCGCCGCTCATTTGAAAGGGTCGGCTCAAAGAATTCCTTGTTGCGGAATATCTTGCCTCTAAAGGACTTATCTTGTCCTTTTGGTGGTAACACCACGCGGCTGTGCACTCAGACTGAAGATGGCATGAATTTCTCTACACAACTAAGAAGCTTGGATAGTGATAGCTCCGGTAAGTCAAACAAAACAGGCCCTTCCTTTCCTGTGAAGCCATTGGTATGATCCATTTACAAAATAACACTCAACCAGTTTGATCATTTGATCAAACTTGAAACATGCTGATCATCACTCTCGACTAGCTTGCACTTATTGTTTCTCCTTTCCCTTTACTCTGATAATGGCTACATGCGGTGTTTGATTAGGTGGCACAAATCCAAACTTAACGGCCAACAGACATGTGTTTCTTGCTTGGTTCACTCACCAGTCATAAGTCCTGATCCTGAACTCTGTTATAGCGGAAAAATACACCATGGACACACGCACAGGAATAACAGTGAGAGACTAGGAAGCAACAGAATCAATGGCAACCTACATTTCACTTAGAATGGTGTCAGCCTCTGCTGACAATCACGCCGCACAACTGATGAAAACAAATAAGTTTTTAAACTGGGCAACCACCGAATTTTCTATTTATTTTCTATTTTTACTAAAGGACATGTGGTGCACGCAACAGAAACATGCAGGAGCGATGGTGGTGGGGGCCAGGCACTCCATCGAATGATACCACAATCACGCCAGGAATTGCAACCTATAAGGCCAATGTCTGTCAGGTTCCTGCAACGCCACGACTGTACTTTCAGCGATGAGCCAGTGTAACTATTGAGGTGCTGCTGGAATGTAGCCTTAGGTACAGTGAATCCAACCACATGCATAGTATCAAGAGTCCATAAACAAGAGTATGCAATTGTGATATCTTTTCTATGGGCCAAATGCGCGGCGCGCTGCCTTCATTACATCATTCAGCTGCAGTCCGCGCACTGCGGAAAATCAAACACTGCGCTTTCCCTCTGGTTTGAAATGAATTTTCGTACGGAACTGGAGTTCACGCGCCAAAATTTAGAGATCGCGTAGGTACTGGAATGACTCGAGCAGAAACGGATGGGCTCGTACGAGAAATTGTGGGTTTGAGTGCATGCTTTCAGAGCGTGATGGAGGCAAGTTACGTAATGAAGGCAACGCGCCGCGCACTGGCCCATAACCACAGTTGCATACTCTTGTTTATGCACTCTTGATAGTATGTGACAACATAGGGCACGTTCGGGCCTAGTTTAAATCTGGCTTCGGACATTATTTTTTCATAGCTATCAGTTTGGACCTCATTTTTTCTGTGCGGCAAGGATGAGCCCACAGTAAACAGTTGTGTCCGAAAATGGACTGGTAGTATGTGACATGAAATGTTTCACCAACCTCAGTGTGGAAGTTCTGGAAGATCATGCGAGAATTAAGTGGCTGTAACGGACGAGTGTTTCCGATTTGCTCAACTCGGGGCTCCGAGCGGTTCGATGACAGCAGACCAGAGAGCGCATTAATCTGGTGGGATAAAGAACAAAACAGGGAGAGTGGGGTGGATAATTTTAGAATATGATATTGTATGAAAGACATCAAAGCAAGAAATGTACACGTGCACATACACACAGACTCGCACACTCCCGCACATTAACAATCTCTCGCTTCTACACCCTTTACTCTCCTTTCATACAACATACTGTTATACTAGAATGGTTATGCCCGTAAGCTCCAACTTCTTGTTGTTCTTCTACGCTTTGTCATGTCAAATGGACACCCTATTTGCTAGCCCATTTTACTTTGTTTTATCACATAGTGGGATGGTCTAAGACAATGATTGAGAGGCAGAGTGCACCCGGTTCAAGTCCTGCATGGAAGCAGAAGGGTCTTTTTTTCAGCCGTGCTGCGACCCACAGTCAACTTGTGGCCTGGCACGAAGGAAATATGGATGCAGTGAATGGGATTTTCGGTCTTTGACCACTTTGTGATGGATGTGATCTACTCCTCTCCCACCACTTAGGAGCTTTATCTGCGCCTTTATCCAAGAGGGTGGTGGCGTTTTTGCGGATGCCGAAAACTCGGCCTCTTGCCGAGTTTAACGCGAACCAGGAATTTGTTATCACATTCTCAGCAACACGCAAGTGTCTTTTGTAGGACTACAGGACTATTTAACCTTACCAGGTAGTTCTCTAGAGCTCTCAACGGTTACCCCTAATTTTGTAAATTTCATTGATGGCCAGAACAGAAAATCGGCGCTGGATAATACAACTAAATTTTGAGCAAACTGCCTGTTACGTGGTGATGTCTGCGGCCTTCGTTCCATTCATAGCTTTAATGACATTAATGCCTCTTCGCACAAAGTTGGTCATTTCTATTTTTTTACTACTCGGTTGGGGTGTGGGTTTCTACACCTACTGATGGTGTCTGTAGTGTGGGCAACAGGAAGAGCAAATGAACTAGAGTTCGCAACCCGTGGATTACCACTATGAGAGCATTATGTGTTTAGGTCTAGTGTATTTACTTTGCTGCATCTCACACTGCATTCGCACGATACTTTGACCTTGTCACCAAGCCGAAATGTCTGTTTTGCTTTGCAGCTTATCATGCGGAAGGTGAGATTTCCTGAAAATTTCCTGCTATCCCCTACGGGAGACTGTGATAGTGCACGGAATCTACTGTGTGACAGGAATTTCATCCGTGTTGAACTGTTAATGTCAACAAGAGTTAATTAGGAAATTATGGTGAAAAAATAGAAGGACAAAATTTTACGAGTTATGACTAACTGTGGACAGTTAGTCATAACTCGTAACATTTTGTCCTTCTCCTTTTTGCACCATACCTTAATTGGCTCACCATCCGAGCTTAATTCGGAAATGTTATTAGTACTTATTGCCGGTCAGGTTCCCGTAAGACAGGAGCTGAGGAAACCTTTTTCAATGTTGATCCCCTCAGGGGACAGTAAACGATTCATAAGAAATCACATCGGAACATACCATTGTGGGCGGGTAGTACTGGATTTGGCTCATAACCATCCAGACGACCTGTTCGTTGCAAGCGGGATGGCTGTTCGATCCGTAGTACGTGTAGAATGTAGTGATGTCCTCCGGGCGAAGTATATCTTGGAAGTTCAGCTGCTCTGCTGACTGATCGCCTGCAGTACACATGAACAGTGTCATAGGTAACCTATTGCTTACACCTGTGTTTCTGGTGTTGACAGCACCAAAACGTATTTCACTGCTCGCCTGAGAGCCTTGCTCACCCATCACATACAAGAACACAACCCGTGTTCTTTTTCCCTCATGCTCATGCATTCCTTCCAAATTTGGTGCGCCTGTAATTGGAAGATGCGGAGACCTCGAGTCGGTTGAGCATGGCAGGCCCCACCAGCACCATCTCACCCCATGCTAGCCCCATGTGCCTGCAGGTGAGTTGTGTATGTTGTAGAGAAAAAAAGAAAAAAACAACAACAACGCGGTTTCTAGGCTACAGTACCTGAAAAAGTAACCCCAGCATCATCTTCTGGCAGACCCTCCTTCATATGATTTTTGCTCTATCCTAATAAATATCAACCAGGTTTTATGTGTCCACAAAAGCTTTCTAAGACTGCTCCTACCTTTCGCATCCCCACGTTCTAGTATGTAAAATTCATTTCTCCAAATACCAGACATTTTAAAAACGTGACCTTACCTCTATATGTCAGCTGGGAGAAGAAGTTAAGAAGTGGTGTGACACCGGGATGAGCATGAGATATATCGTCGCTGGGCTGCATCAGTAGGAAAGGAAAACGTGTAGCAATTTGGAACGTAAAAATTACCACACCTGATTGAAAGAACGTGATTATGTAACGTGATTATGTAACGTGATTATGTAACGTTCGGGCCTGATTGGAAATTTTTATTTTCATTGCTATCAGGTTCGGCCTCATTTTCTCTGTGCTGCGCTGATGAGTTCAAAAAGAACGAAACAGCATGCTGTCCGCAGATTGAGTGTAACGTTATTATGTAACGTGATTATGTTGGGATGTACTCATATGATGCACACCTTACTTGCTTTCCCCGGATAATTATTTGACCATTAGTAACGTATTGATGTGACCACTTATTCAGGTTGCGAAAATGCAGAGTATGATGTTCAGCTTATAAACCGAATGAAAGGGGTGCAGCTTAGACTCCTGAAGGGCTAACACAGCGGAAAAATTCCCTTACTTGCTTGCCGCTGACAATTATGCAAAATGTGAAACATGTCTATCTACCTTTATCCCAGTCTAACCGACATCAACTAAAATACTGGACACTTGCAATATGCAACTGCTTCGATGTAATGGAGCACTCTCTACCCTGTATTCACTTGTTTGGCTCTCTACATTGTGTTGGAACAGGCGGCGCGGTGACAAAAGTTTAAGGATGGCATTAAACAGAATCAGCTGAAGCGTCATTTCACGAATTTGTTCGTGATACCGCAATAAAACCTTCGTGAAATGATGCTCCAGCTCATCTATTGTTATCCTTAAATCTTTACATTCTGAAAAGAAGAAGGACAAAATGTTACGAGTTATGACTCTCTGTAGTCAGTTTTAGTAAGGCCGGTCTGTCCAATAGTCTTACCAGTTTCGTCTTCAACCAGTAACTTTCGGCATTCTTTGTTGCCGTGATGCGTAGCTCGTGCTCTTCTTCGTTGCGCTTTCCTTCCCCTCTTGGACCTTTCCGAACTTGAGCCTTCCAAGTTGGAAGGTTGTTCGTTTGCGCCTTGGAGAAGTGTTAGAGCTAGGTGTCAGGTCGCCGAATGTCTCAGTACTCCTTGTCAGTTTTGTGCCATTTTGTCGCACTCGATGACTGTATAAGATCTGGTTACGTTGATGGACAGTCAGTCATAACTCGTAACATTTTGTCCTTCTTCTTTTCACAATAATTTAATTGGCTCAGCATCCGAGTTACATCTTTATATTGTGTTTGTAAAATTACAACTTTAGACTGACTTATCAATAGCATTTCACTCCAAACTGGCCTCCTTACTGCGTTTCAAATTTAAATCACACAATATGTTCGGGCCTGGGCCATCATCTGTGTAATAAATGACTTAACATCCATTGTGCAAGTACTTATTGAACTACATGTAGGAACGTTTTTTAGAGCACGGAAGCTCCACTGCAGCCAATTCATATCACGATCAGTCACCACCACCACACCACGGTCGTTGACGCTGCAAATTCTGTTCAAAAGAAATGAAATGAAATCTCCAAATTTTCGCCCTTTTCGACCTTGGTGTGGTGGTGGTGGCTGATCGTGATACATGTAGGTAAACAGCATCAATTGACACTGAGGAAGGGGAAGCTCACCCTTAAATGTGAACAGAGATGGACGTTGTATGGGAGTAGATGGGGAAATCTCAGTATTTTGGGTCTTCAATGCCCCAAAGAAGTCTGATCTTTTTCAAACTTCGGTATGGGTGGGACATATGAAACCTTACAGGTATACCGACTGGAAAAACCATCTATCTAGTCTAATCAAATGTCTAGTCTATTTCTCGGCCATCATAATTCTGACGTAGTCTGCGCAAGTTAATGACGTCATCATCATGTTACCAAATTTAGTGCAAACTTCAAGTTGATATAACTCGTAAACGGCTGCTCCAATAAAACTGGGACATGTGTGTTTTTGTGTGTGTTCATGTGTGTTTTTTGTTTTTTTTACTAGCAAACACAGCCCTACTAATAATCAGGGGAAGAGGACAACTGAAATGACACTGGACAACAAGACAAAGGGGAGTAGGGGCGATGTGCCGATGTGGTTGGCGAGGCTTGTCCGACCGGAGGTCTCGGAATCATAGCCTACGACCAGGCATCGATAGGAATGCAGCTAGGTAGGTAGGTACATTTTTATTTGAATTCGCAGAACCAAACGGGCGGTGTCGCCCAATTACATGGAAGCGAATGGAAACAGTAAAATATTGTAGGAAATAGCCTAACATGATAGCAGGGTGTAGTACAAAGCAAAGAACGCTCAGTCAAAGAATAACGTTAACGTTAGAATACAATAACGGGGAGGCGGTAAACAGCACATGACTGGTACTGTGGAGTACCGCAAACGTTCAAAGATTCCTGTAGTGTTCAGTAGTGGGTGAGGGAGGGAAATCAAGTGAGAAAGAGAGAGAGAGAGAGAGAGAGAGAGAGAGAGAGAGAGAGAGGGAGAGAGAGAGAGAGAGAGAGAGAGAGAGAGAGAGAAGGAGAGATAGAGGAGAGAGAGGGAGAGAGGGAGGGAGAGAGAGAGAGAGAGAGAGAGAGAGAGAGAGAGAGAGAGAGAGAGAAAAAGAGAGAGAGAGAGAGAGAGAGAAGGAGAGAGAGAGAAGGAGAGAGAGAGAGGGAGAGAGAGAGAGAGACAGAGAGAGCCACGAGAAAGGGAAATAAAATAAAACAAGAAATAGATGATGGACGAGGGTAGTTGCTCATTGACGGGCGACATAGCCTTACAGGGAGTCCGTAGCCCAGAGCCAATTATTTTGACGCAAGTGGCGATGGACCTTCGTCTTGAAGGATTGGAGAGACTTCAACTGGGGCATCGGATCCGGAAACATGTCTTGCGTGTGTGTGTGCTTGTGTGTGTGTGTGTGTGTTTGTTTGTGTGTGCGAATTTGTTTCTGTTTGGGGAAGGGCTTCAGTCGTATCGCATTGGACGGATGCAGAGAATAAGTGCTAACTACAGATGAAGTGATACATTGTCTACCCAAAGGTACAAACAGTCATTGCGACAGAACTACGACCGTGTACATGATTGTGGAGAATAATGCCCACAGACAGACCAACTACGGACACAAACAGGCTTGCACATGTAGTGAATAACACATACAGTCAGACCAAGCACTGTACATAAACGTTTCACACCTTGTCTCGAAGCCTCCAGGCAAAGTCTTGAAAAATGACTTAACCTCTTACACCCCCGACATGACAATTTGTTTGGTGTGCCAAAGCTTACTGCAAACTTCAAAAACGCATCCCATTTATTGCAGAGGAGTATATCCCAAGCCCCTGTTTACTCACGCTGAACAACACGGCAATGATAGCGATAGCATCACGATCTCCACTTGCCAAGGCTTGATTAAGATTTTGGTACGAGCCGTTGTAGAAGACGACATCGAGCTGGATAAGTGAAAATCACACACAGCAGTCAGCTATCCTTTTTAAATAATCTTTCTGGAAACCTTTTCACGGTACTCAGACCCTGCCCAAAAATTAAAAATATTAATAATTAATTAAGAAGGCCTCATTTCCTCTGTGCTGCGCTGACGAGTCCACAAAGGACGAAACAGTTCTGTCCGCAGATTGAGTAATTAATTAAGATGTAAAGGGAAAAAGGACCTATAAGTAATAGTTACCAGTTATGACTAACAGTCCACCAAGGTAAAACTGAAAAAGGTGCTGGGTTCTATTTGCCACAGCAGGGTAGGGAGCAACACACAAATCTGTCTACCAGTGTTTGGCTATTACCCCTCTCTCGCACGTTGCGTGCCATTTAGTTATGGCCCACAAATTGAGTGAAAAAATTGATCTACATGTACATCATCGACTATCTAAAAAATGGAAATCCTCGGTTATCTAAGAAATGTCTATAACATCTCCTTCGCACTGCTATCCCCAGTCTGCGTGAGACATGTTACATTTTCCTTTTGAATGCAAAAGCATGGCTTGAGTAAGTGTATGTAGGCTGCATCCAACGCTTGCAACAGGAGCAAGCAGCTAACACGGAAACAGTTATATCTCTCACACTATACACTTAGATTTTCACACCCTAGCTTAGCTTTTTATTCAGCATAGTTCGCACACCATAGTGACAATACAATCACCCGTGCTCCCTTGTTACTGTGGTCATTTTGTAACCTTCAATCACCAAATATTTTGAGCATACATTATTTTTATTTTTATTATTATTAAGAAAGGGTTTGCTCCCCACACCGGAGCTCGCGCTATTCCGCCGACTTTACTTGACACTTGACTGACTCACGACTGCCATCCAGAGCACACGAGAAGTCCATCAAACCTTCGACTCGGCAAACCTGCAAGAAAGTACCACTCCCTGCTCAATACACAGTGTTTCGGGGAATTCACCCCTCATCAGTTGAGCTTGAGTAGGATGAGGAATATTGTGCCTGAAGAGCACCACTTATATAGTGCTCCCCAGGCACAAACATCACCAGGGATACAAACTTACAGAGACGCTCCGTTTCCAGCGCGACAAACACCTCGTGAACACCAGATAGCAGCATGAGTCAGTGTCGCTCCTGGACGGTGAGACAGACGTCGAGGCCCCCTTGGTCATTCGCAACGCTGTCACCTCCAAACCAACTAGTCGCAAGCCCGCGCTGGGCACAACAGTACGAAGTATTGGTTGCGACTTCGGCGATGATTTGTAAGAAAGGGTTTGCTCCCCACACCGGAGCTCGCGCTATTCCGCCGACTTTACTTGACAATTGACTGACTCACGACTGCCATCCAGAGCACACGAAAATTCCATTGAACCTTCGACTCGGCAAACCTGCAAGAAAGCACCACTCCCTGTGACAGCGTTCCGAATGACCGAGGGTCCTCGACGTCTGTCTCTACGTCCAGGAGCGACACTGACTCACGCTGCTATCTGGTGTTCACGAGGTGTTTGTCGCGCGGGAAACGGAGCGTCTCTGTAAGTTTGTATCCCTGGTGATGTTTGTGCCTGGACAGCACTATTATGTGGTGCTCTTCAGGCACAATCTTCCTCAGCCTACTCAAGCTCAACTGATGAGGGGTGAAATCCCCGAAACACTGTGTATTGAGCAGGGAGTGGTGCTTTCTTGCAGGTCTGCCGAGTCGAAGGTTCGATGGACTTTTCGTGTTCTCTGAATGGCAGTCGTAAGTCAGTCAAGTGTCAAGTAAAGTCGGCGGAATAGCGCGAGCTCCGGTGTGGGAAGCAAACCCTTTATTATTATTATTATTATTATTTGAACAAACGGCGAGGAGACAACAATTTGAAAACCGCAATCAGTAATACAAGCTGGATCGACATTTTGTGTACACTGTATTCATGTATTGTAAAACTGTGGAGACAATGTGCAATAGAACGATGAAAAATGTGAAGAAATTGTGTAGAGAAAGAAAAGGATTTAAACAAGTTTTCGTACAACACTCATCAGGAATCGTCGTTGTACTAAAGGACACTGAAACAAAAATTGAACTATTATAGAAAATCTAAGTTAGAGAAATAACACTAAGAGCAACAACAGTGAAATTTACAAATGTGAATTTTAACAATCAAAGCGAGAAATGAACAAAGGAGAAAGGAAGGAAAGACAACGTGATAACACATAACAGCAGTACATTACACCTAGAACATTAACGGCCAAGATTGGCCGCACTAAACACGACACGTTACTTGAACAATTTCAACCCAATTATACTATCTTTCTGTACACACAAATTAGGCTTGTACAGACGCTGATAGATAGCTTCCAACACTTTTAACTGTAGTCCATAACCATGACGACCACGGCACAATACAGTGAACGAAGAGTCGGAATACGCACCGCAACAATCAGGACTAGCCAGCAGATGATTGTACACTGAAGACTTGCTACCACGAAACCTACGCACAACACTAACACTCTCACCGGCACTCTCACCATCACTTCCATCACTGCTCTCCGACTCACTGCTCCCTCCGCCGTCCGTTCCATCCTCCGCTTCCTCTGTACTCTCTCTGTCTCGTCCATCCCGCCTGACCGGGTCCATTGAACTCAACTCGGCCGTCCCCCTGCTATCACGTCCCTCCTTTCGCCCTCGTCCGCTGAGTGCGTAGCTTCTGTTGTAGTTGGCTGTTGATCGTCTTGGTCTTTCAATTATGGGCTTGGATGGTGGATTAGTTGTGGTTGCTGTAGATTGCGTTGTTGGTGTTGGTGTGGGAGTTACTGATATGCAAGGTGGGTCTCTTTGAGTCGGCATTTGTAGTGTTAATGCAGCTGTCAGTGTTGCTCGCGGTCTGCCACTGGCAAGCTCCACCGCCGCAAGAACCGATGGCGGAGGATCAGGAGGAGGCAGTGGGACCGGGACCGCAAGCAGCACCGCCTCAGCCAAAGCCGCCGGGGGCACTGACGAGGGAACCACCGACGGCCGGAGCAAAGGCGGCGACACAAGCCGACCCGATGAGCCACCACGCCCATTCTCCTCCACCACCGTCACCAACGACGGCGGAGCAAGCACAGTCTGAGATCCAGGATCCGCGGGTTGTGTAGGCAACGGCTGTGTGGTTAATGGTTGTTTTCTAGGTCGCCCTCGCTTCGGTCTTTGTTGTTGTGCGCAAGGTGGAAGTATGTGACGTGGTGTGTGTTGTTTGATGCGTGCGTTCAGGTGCTGAACAGTCCTACCAACATACCGACTAGCCTTTGAATTTGAAGTTCTCCCAATCCTTTCCAAATTATTATTATTATTATAATGGGGGTGGCTTTATTGGTTTTGTGTTTGTATTATGCAGCATCCCGGGTCATTTAAGACCATGGGGAGTACTGCTGTTGTATGTGAAGAAAATATAATAAGGGAGACTGAGAAAAAAGAAAGAAAGAAGAGAGAAATACTGTGAACAGCAAATCTACAATGATGCATGTACAATCTATTATACAACTAATCTGCGAGAATGAGACTTAACACAAGCAGGTACAGTAATAGCAAGAGAGCTTAATCAGAAAACAAAATCCGTTGAAAAGTAACCGTCATCAAATCTGAAATCGAGCCCTTCAGCGACACAATAGCACTGAAGGCAGCAATATAATTCTTCTCATTCAACATCAGTGAAGCACCGTCAAAACCGGTGAATGGGGGCTGATGGTATTATTGTTGTCTTTGTTATTGGCAAGTGATTAATATTACGATCATAATTATTTTCTGCAAATAGGTGCTTCAACTAATAGTTCGAACCATGGGCATTCGCAAACCAATGTAACTTTTTAGAGTGTAATTATTATTTCATCTGAGTTATTGACCTGATGATGTCAACTGTGCCAAGGAGTGCCTCCTTTTGCAAGATCGGTACACTAGCTCCGGCATCCAGTTCCCTCACAAAGTCAGCAGTCGAGGGGGTTAATCCACCTAATGCCCCCACAATTACTGGCACGATCTTGGCTCGCACCTGCCACATCTGCTCCACCTCACGCTTCAGGCCTTGATATTTCTGTATCTTTTCCACAGATTTTCGGCGGATGTTCCTATCCAGAGGGACACTTACGTCCACAAGTAACGCTTCATCTTTGCCCTTGATAATAATGTCGGGTCTGTTTGCTCCAACGGGCGCTGCTGTTGGAATTGGCACTTCCCAGTAGATTGACACATCCGTTTCAGCACTGTACACGACGTTGGTGAGTTGGTGACTTGTGTACTTATTCGAAATGTCCGATGCACCATACTTCCTGCACAATGCCCAGTGGAGATATTTTGCTAACCTGTTGTGGCGATTGACATAGTGACTTCCCGCACAAGCTGTACACGCTCCGATAAGGTGGAAAACCGTTTCCTTGTCCCTGCCACACATCCTGCAACTCGTTTTCGTTAACACACCTGTTCCTCGATTAAATATCTCTTGTAAGTTCCGTGTTGGGATAGCCTGGTCCTGTATGGCCATGACAATACTCTCTGTTGCCGGACGCAAAGCAGAAGATCGCATCCTGCAGCATCAGCCAAAATTGGCCATGCAGAGGCTTCTTTCTGATTGTCTCCTCCCGATGCCGCTGGTATCCCTGGCGTATTTGTTCCTTTGTGGCTGACTCCTCCATACCAATCTTTGCCAAATATTTCGCAGCATCACTGGAGACAGAGTATTTTGCTTTTTCATGATGGTACTGTTTTAGGAGAGCAATGGCAATGTGGTCTTGGTGGCCCTCGATGTATTTATTGATTTGGATGATGGATCGTTCATGTAGATCCACCACACTCTGGAATCCACGGCCGCCTTCGGCGCACACCAAATGCACCCTCTCTCTGTCAGCCCGAGGGTGATGCCATCCCTTCTTGGTGAGCTTCTTCCTGAGCAAGATATCCAGCTGCTCCAATTCTACGGGTCGCCAGTTGATGATGCCAAAGCTGTAGGTGAGCAGTGGCACCGCGTATGTGTTTACTGCCTTTGC